AAAATCAGCACCAAAAACGCAGATGAAACCTCAGCAGAAGTTTTCAAAATCACAATCTCCAAAGATTTTATAGCAAAGGCCACAAAGTTTTAGCATTGTACACGATAAGAGAAGATGATAACAATCATGGATACTAGAACCCCATCAAGATGTGCTAAGATTGTTGCTGTTGTGCTACCCTAATTTTGTCATACATGGTTAGCAATTGCTTGTCCAATGCTCGAGATTTGTAATTTTCTAAAATGGATAGCAATTCTAGCCCCAACTCGCCAGGCATCAAAGATTGCACATCGACGGCGAATTGCTCAGGATGGGCTTGACGAAGAGCAAGCAGTGTCGAAGCAACTTCATGCACCACCTTCAAAAATTACGATAAAAAAAAGAACGAAAAATTTTCAAAAAAAAAGAGAAAAAAAAAACGAAAATCACTCACCACTGAGCTCCCAGCATCCGATGAACTTATGTGCGATAGCGACGGAACCTCCAACGCAGTTCGCAATGTTCTCTGCCACCACTGCGTATTTACAGATGATGTTCGGCTAAGTGTGGCGAGTGCAAGCTTCTGACAGGACTGGTCACTGCTAAGAGCCAGTTGTGTGGCTGCTTGTTGGAGATCATCAAACAAGGGTCCTATAAATGATAATTATGTCATAGAAACAGACTTTTGAGATTATTCTATTTCTAAGAGACAGGAAATTTTCATAAACTTTGCTAATAATCATGCGCGACAGCTGTCAATCGCATACTTTGATCTTCAAATATTACATCGTTCCAAAAGTTCTGTCGTTTGATTTGCGTAAATTTGTAATTTTATTCAAAAAGAATACGTCTTTTGCTCTCGAACGGTGTCTTGCTGAGCTTCCAATTGCGCTACTGCAGAGATAAAAATGGAGACGGAATACCATGCAAGCTTTGGTCATTTCGAGTTAGATCACCAAAAATCTTGAAAGTTGCGAAAAATTCGAAGTAGTCAGCGCATAAGTTCTATGACCTACTCGCTCCAACTGTGAAAAGTTTGAGCTATTTGACGTTTTCATGAGAAGTTACGATATTTGAGTTTACTACAGAAAACGCCAAAATCAAAACATGTCACGTTTCTCAAAAATCATAACTTCTCAAGGAAACGTCAAAACAGCACAAACTTTCCACGGTTGGAAAGAGCAGGTCATAGAACTATGCACTGTCTATTTCGGATTTTTCGCAACTTTCCAGATTTTTGGTGACCTAACTTAAAGCGACCGAAGTCTACATGGTCTTCCTTTTCCAATTCCATCTGTGCAGTCAGCGTGAATAGGAAGCTCTACAAGTCAGTGTTCGAAAGCGAAAGACTTATTCTTTCTAATAAAACTAGTGAACCAGCCAGCAATGTAAAGGGCTAGATTGACAGGCGTGCGCTGGGACCGCCCTCGGTTTCCCGCAATTGGAAGATTTTTGAACTGTCCTCGGTTTCCCGCTTTCGGAAGATTTTTGAACTGCGCTTTGATTCTTTATATATTAGGATTACACGCTTCTTCTAGCCATGCGAAGAACGTCTTCATGTAAGATAGCATGCAAACAAATCCGTTGGTAAAGCGCTTAGTGGCAATTCTTAAAAATGAAACAACAGAACGGACCGGACCAATACTTACTGACTATTTACAGTATGATTCAGCAACACTAGCGAGCCTGATTGATTAGACCAGAAAAAAATTCGAAATAACAAAAAAAAAACCTCGTCTGATAGCCCAAAAAGGAAAGAAATCGAAAAAAATGGGAAACAGACCTGCTGCAATTTCCGATAACATGTCAGATGTTGCTGATGTGTAGAATAGCTGTAAAAATGCTCGCCGAACGTAGATCAGATTACGGTAAACAGCCTCATCTGAATTTGGTGAGATTATAAGCTGGAAAAAATCTAGCCGATCTCACCTTGAGCGCGTAATGCTGGCGTAGGTTCGGTTTCTATTGAAAGTCTAGCTGCCGACGCAAGAATAGCACCGAAATCTACACCCGATTGCAAGCAGTCTTTCTGCAATGCACATTATTGGAAAGAAAGCGATTATATAAAAAAATCTTAACATTACCTTGAACTTGGCAACTATTTGATGACTAAGAATCAGAAGATGATTCATACTGTCCAAATCGGTGGAAACCTGGAAAGGCATATACGAGGACAATTCTCAAACTAAAATTTCTATAACAAAATGTCAATGGGCAACCAAAAAGGGAAAAAGCGACACAAATAAAGTTCAAAACAAGTCTATTCAAGATCTCTACTCAGGCAATTCACCGGAACTTCCGCAGTACAAGCGAGATTTGCAGCGGTTCCGCGGGATTTTGCTTACTATTACAAAAGTGGAAATGCTGAAAATGGGAACTTATGCAGAACTTTTTACAAAACGCTGCGGAAATCCCGAACGGCAGTGGTTCCG